TTCCACAAAGAAAGTGTCTAAAACTCTTCAAGCAGGTATGATTTAACTGATCTTGGTTAGCAATATGAGACAGAATAGCCTGCATGTGAAAGAAAAATCCCATTCAACTTGATTTCATTAATTTCTAGTTGTTGCTTCTGTTGTTGAATGCTGAGAAAGCGACAATTGTCTTCTTATTCATTGTATTTTCTATTTGGCACATTATGACCCCCATAGTGGCTTTTAAAATCACATATTAAAGAATCACTCCAGAATTATCAGTCTGAAAGCCAAGGAAATGGAGAAAGACAAATTTAATTACCATTTATACTCCAGAAAGTTTACCCAAAAGGAAAGTCCTTGCAAATTTTCCAAACATGTTCCTTCTCCTCCTCCAACTCCTCCTCCTCCTCCTCCAACTCCTCCTCCTCCTCCTCCTCTTCCTCTTCCTCTTCCTCTTCCTCTTCGTCCTCCCCTTTTCAACTATAGAAGTGATGCCAGAGACCAAATGGCTGCTGGTTTGCTCTGATCTGGTTCAGGTTAACCGCAGGACAGATCTGGGCCAATGCCCAGTCCCTCTCTGTCTATGGCTATCTTTTGATCTTCGCAGCGTTGCTGTAATTCGGTTATTCCTTTAACCTTAAGGTTCCTTGTGCACCTTCTCAGAGACAGATAACCTCACAGTCTATGTTAATGTACTTGTGGTGTTCATTTATCTCTAGTACACTTAGAACAAAGTGCTGAGGAGTATGAATTTTTGGGAGAACATTTCAGGAGAGCAAAGGAACAGCCCTTGATCAGGCCAAAGACCCATCTAGTCTAGCATCCTGTTCTCACTGTAGTCAACTTGATGCCTGTGATAAACCTGCAAGCAGGACCTGAGAGCAACAGCACTGTTGCTCCATTATTCGATTCTCATCACTTGTAGTCAGAGGCATACTGCCTCCCAACAGGGAAGGTGGAATATAGCAACCGTGGTTATTAGCAGTTGATAGTGTTACCGTCTATGAATTTGTTTAAGTCTTCTTTGAATCTGACCAGCTTGGTGGCCATCACTAGTGAATTCCATAGTTTAACTATGGGCCGCGTGAAGAAGTATACTTACTTTTGTTTATCCTGATTCTTTCACCATTCAGTGTTATTGGATAACCTGGGGGTTTTATGTTATGAAGGATATAGTGAGTCAGTATTAACAGGAATAAATAGCATTGTTGGTCAAGCCCTCCCCATGGAGCCTATTGTAACAATATCTGGATAATGCCAAAGCATCATTCAATAGGAAAATCAAGAAATGGTATCCTGTTTATGAACAGCAGCAAAACCAGAAAACTGGAAAAACCCTTTCCCACCATCAATAAATTCCTGGCTCTCTAGAGTTTGGGAAACAACGGCTGCAAACCTAATACCAGTAAGTGTGAAAGAAGGTAGGCAAATATAAGAGAACTTAATTGAAAGGTAGAGTTAGTTTATACTATACTGGAGTACTACTGCACTCGGACTCCATGCAAATGCAGTGTTGTGATGTGGCACTACATATCCTCCAATGGGGGCTGCGTGACGACAGCCTTGCATTTTTATGTATATAGGAGTATTTATTTAAGTCATTTATATACCTGTTTTTAGGTAGATTTTACAGCGGTTTACATAAGAATATTACAACATTAAGCACTGACAAGATGGCTGTGCAAAAACAGTTACTGTTGCGGGGAGACAGTTGCATTTTCAGATTTCTGTTGCCTGTTTCATTGCCAGAATTTTTTGTTTTAAAGGAAGCTCAGCTGAGAGTATGAGATCTTTACCGGCTGTAATGGGCTTACTATAATCTCTTGTTTTTGTGAATAATTTTATCCTGAGCAGTGTGAAAACGGGATTTGCCTTGCAAAGTCTCCCTAGATGATCTTTTCAGCAGTTGGAGTCCTGAAAAATTAAGCCCAGCAGCCTTGGAAGTTGGTTTGCATGTTACTGTAAAGGAGGCAGAATGGATGAATAGCCCACAGTGCATTCTGATAATCCTAATCCTCAGATTGAATTTTTTTGGATATGCCTAATTGGCTACTGATTTTCATTCACATTGAGGTTGGGCTATAGCCCCGTCCTCATCTTTTCTCTTTCATGAGCATATTTCTTCCTTTAATGCAGAAATAGATATAGAGGACAGTAGCCCTTTAAAGGAAATTTTAAAACTTCTAATGTGGCCTATTATTTTGGTCCCAGGGAAAATTTATATCCATAACAGACCTCAGAATTTTCTTTAGTGAGTTGTGTTTGGCCAGGTGCCATAAGAAATGATTTATTCTTGGTCTCTGCAAGCAGGCTTTTTAAAACTGACATTGAGAATCTTCAGAGAGGCAGTCCAGGTCTACATAAGAATATCCTTACAGCAGAGACTTTGAAACCAAGTAGTTCTTCTCCCCGTTCTCCTGAGTTTCCTAAAAGTTTACACAATACTTTCTGCAGTGTAATCTGTGGTGTGTCGTACTTGTGTTCCTGTCATAGTAGAGGTCTCTGGAGATGCACTCATAGCTTGGGACTGAATCACTGGCTGTAACTCATCATTTATGAATTCCGTACATCTGGTGGCTAAGCTCTAAAACAGGCATAGGCAAACTTGGCCCTCCGGATGTTTTTTGGCCTACAACTCCCATCATCCCAAGCTAACAGGACTAGTGGTCAGGGATGATGGGAGTTGTAGTCCCAAAACATCTGGAGGGCCAAGTTTGCCTATGCCTGCTTTAAAACCTCAGAAAAAGTGGGATTCATTAGTCTCTCCATAGTTTCTACCCAAATGCAATTTTGGTTTTAAACAGAGTGTAAGGAGTCTCTATGGGAGTATATTGTATTTAAAAATGGGGTAGCAGAGTTTTTATGGGGCTAACCAGGTTGGGATAGCTGGGATAGCCGGCTTGTTGGGTTTTGAATGTTTTACGTAGATTTTTCAATTTTGTTGTTCTGTATGGGACAATGACATTGAAGATTATTGTATTGTATCGTTTTGTTTCCACGGAATAGGATATTAATAAGGGGTGCAAGGGGTGATGGAAATGTTGGGTTAGCTTTTTTGGTTCTAGGGTCTCAGTTCACACGTCTGGTGCTTGTCTTTCTGTGGCCCAGTTCAGAAATGTGAAAGTGGGCTCAATCCCCTCCATCCTCAATGTCAAAAATGGATTTGAATGTAAGAGCCTGCTGGATTAGCCCAGTGGCCCATCTGGTCCAGCATCCTGTCCTCACAGGGGCCAGACAGATTCCTGTGGGACAACAGCAAGCAGGACCCAAGAACAATAGCACTCTCCCCTTTTGTGGTTTCCAGCAACTGGTATTCAGAAGCATTGCTGCCCCCATCTGTGGAAGCAGAGCATAGCCATCATGACTAGGAGCCATCAATAGCCCTATCCTACATGAATTTGTCTAATCCTCTATTAGAGCCATCCAGTTGAAATTGAACTGTGCTCTGAGAGAACTTAGGGACGCGGGTGGCACTGTGGGTTAAACCACAGAGCCTAGGACTTGCTGATCAGAAGGTCGGCGGTTCGAATCCCCGCGATGGGGTGAGCTCCCGTTGCTCGGTCCCTGCTCCTGCCAACCAAGCAGTTCGAAAGCACATCAAAGTGCAAGTAGATAAATAGGTACTGCTCTGGCGGGAAGGTAAATGGCGTTTCCGTGTGCTGCTCTGGTTCGCCAGAAGCGGCTTAGTCATGCTGGCCACATGACCCGGAAGCTGTACGCCGGTTCCCTCGGCCAATAAAGTGAGATGAGCGCCGCAACCCCAGAGTCGGTCACGACTGGACCTAATGGTCAGGGGTCCCTTTACCTTTACCTGAGAGAACTTATCTTTAAAGCTAGATTTTTCTCCCTCCTCGAGTAAAGAAGAGCCGAGCCCCACTTTTCTGCCATGGGGTTCAATGGACCAGGGAGGATATGGTCCTTGAGCATTTGTGCCAGCGTGGTGTAGTGGTTAGAGCTTCAGACTAGGGAGACACGGAGTCAAATTCCTATTTGAACTTTGGCTAGTTATGATCTCTCATCCAAACCATGGTGGGGTCAACCTGGCAATCAAACAAAGCACATCTTGTTTCTCCAAAGTTTGTTTCAGTTTCAAGCTGCTCTTGCCTTTGTAGTTTGGTGAGCAAATGGGGTGGGGTGGCGAAAGAAACCAGGGTTAAAGAAAGGTGCAGAGTTGACATGACATATCAAGCTGTAGTTTAAACAAACCAAGGTTTGCAATCCATCAGCAAACTATGGTTTCGGATTGTAATTTGTTGGCAGTAAGCAAACCATAGTTAAGCCACTGGGCAGGGTTCGAACATAACACTAAGCCATTGTTTAATAAACAGTGAGAAAGTAACATTTCCTTCTGGCTGCCTTGAACAACCTCTCTCTAAGGAATTGTTCCTTTGACGTTCTGGGTTGGGGAAGCTGCTATGATATTTCTTTCCAGCTGTTCAGGAGGAAGGGGCTTCAAATTGTTCTGAAGCATTTTCTGCCTCCACTGTCCCCTTGCTTACCTGCCCTAACTTTTCCCATGAGCAACGAAGAGCAAGTTCAGTCTAAATCCTATTCCACACCCGCCCAAGCAAATATGGAAATGACTTCTGTAATGATTGAGACAGGAAGGCTCTGGAGATAAAGGAATGTAACAGGAGTTATTGTCAAGTTGTGGGAGCAACACGGGTTGCGCTAGACCATGTTTTCTGAAGTGTACAAGCTGCCAGCTTTCAGAGTTCAAGGAGAGTCCAGCTGTTCCCTGATAACGCTGACTTCCTCTTTAAGTCTCTATTCTTGAGTTGCTTTTTACCGGCTGGACATGGTGCTTGTGCTGTACAACACTGGGCTCGCATTGCAAGCCAGCAGTGTGGTGCTCTTACACATGAAAAGGGCAACTGCTGTTTTGGAAGGCATTGTTTACAAAGCACAAGTTAGACTGTAGTCTACTCTATCCAAAAGGGTGCCATTGAGAGGGAGAGCATCACTGAAAGAACACGGAGCATTGGACCTAAATCATTGGGCACTTTTCCTTTGGGGAAGGAGCGTAGCTCAGTGGTAAAGTCATCTGCCTTGAATGCAGAAGTTCCCAGATTTAATCCCCAGAAGCTCCAGGTGGGGCTGGAGAGACTACCTGTCTGGAATCCTGGAAAACATCTGCAAGTTAGTGTAGACATTTCTGAGCCAGGTGGACCAGAGAGACTGACTTGGTATAAGTAATAATAATAATAATAATAATAATAATATTTATTATTTATACCCTGCCCATCTGGCTGAGTTTCCCCAGCCACTCTGGGTGGCTTCCAATCAAGTGTTAAAACAACACAGCATTAAATATTAAAAACTTCCCTAAACAGGGCTGCCTTCAGATGTCTTTTAAAAAGAAGATAGCTGCTTATTTCTTTCACATCTGGTGGGAGGGTGTTCCACAGGGTGGGCGCCACTACCGAGAAGGCCCTCTGTCTGGTTCCCTGTAACCTCACTTCTCGGAATGAGGGAACCGCCAGAAGGCCTTCGGTGCTGGATCTCAGTGTCCGGGCAGAACAATGGGGGTGGAGACACTCCTTCAGGTATACAGGACCGAGGCTGTTTAGGGCTTTAAAGGTCAGCACCAACACTGGGAGCCAATGCAGATCTCTCAGGACCCATGTTATGTGGTCCCAGTGGCCACTCCCAGTCACCAGTCTAGCTGCCGCATTCTGGATTAATTGCAGTTTCTGGGTCACCTTCAAAGGTAGCCCCACGTAGAGCGCATTGCAGTAGTCCAAGCGGGAGATAACTAGAGCATGCACCACTCTGGCGAGACAGTCCGCAGGCAGGTAGGGTCTCAGCCTGCGTACCAGATGGAGCTGGTAGACAGCCTCCCTGGACACAGAACTGACCTGCACCTCCATGGACACCTGTGAGTCCAAAATGACTCCCAGGCTGCGCACCTGGTCCTTCAGGGGCACAGTTACCCCATTCAGGACCAGGGAGTCCCCCACACCAGCCCGCCCCATGTCCCCCAAGAACAGTACTTCAGTCTTGTCAGGATTCAACCTCAATCTGTTAGCCGCCATCCATCCTCCAACCGCCTCCAGGCACTCACACAGGACCTTCACTGCCTTCACTAAGACAATAAGACAATTTCCTACGAATAAAGGATAGAGCAAATACAAAATGTGGCTTAAAACAAAGATAGCTTGCTTGAACCATGAGAGTTCTTGTCTCTCCCCACCACCCCGCAAAAATTGGTGCACTTAAGTGAATCTCTCTGCATCATTTAACCACTAAACCCTATCCGTTAGTCACAAGGTCTCTTTCTTAAGCCTCCTTTGCCTCTGCATTCCCATTCTGCTAATCTGTCTTGTGATGTCTAACATTCAGTTCTTCAAAGGGGAAAGGAGCCATCCGTCTTTTGCTGTGCACTTCAGTTTAGCTTCACCTTAATTTGTTAGGACATGCTTCACATCCGGAAAGAGGAATCTTAACCTGGAAAATTTGTTTGCAGGTCCCCACTCTAGTGACCGCCTGCAACCCTTTGACTACATAATATATATTGAGCAGCCTGAAATGGAGTTGATTCTGCCTAGTGCATTTTTCAAAATAATATCTGCTTTAGCTAATATAGTGACAGTTCTTTTCATCCACCTACTGCTTGCACTCTTCCCTGAACACTTCAAAACTCTATACAAATATTAAGCTGTTGTTATTAAAACCTGATGGAAACCAGAGGGCCAGATCTACTGCTCTGGCAACTCTTTCACCCTATTTTGATACTGTGGCAGAATCAAAAGGCCTCTAGGATGCTGAATCATTACAGTGGTACCTCGGGTTACATACACTTCAGGTTACAGACTCTGTTAACCCAGAAATATTGCTTCAGGTTAAGAACTTTGCTTCAGGATGAGAACAGAAATTGTGCTCCGGCAGTGTGGCAGCAGCAGGAGGCCCCATTAGCTAAAGTGATGCTTCAGGTTAAGAACAGTTTCAGGTTAAGTACAGACCTCTGGAACGAATTAAGTACTTAACCCGAGGTACCACTGTATATGTCTCTAGAAAAGAAAATACAGCTTGCATCATAGACAGTGATATGCAAAGGGAGCAAGAAGGGTCAGGTGAGGTCTTGAAACGTTTCCTATCAACCTACATTAGGGCATAAGGTTGTAATTTGTGCAGGTTTCCTAGGCAAACACAGCTGTTTGATTTGGCGCTAGCATGTTTATTGTGGTTTGATCTCAAAACCACAGGCTTTTTTGTCTCTAAGTAGAACCAGGCCAAGTGGTGGAAATGTAAGGTGTGCAACAAAATCCCAAGCCAAGCACATTTTTGGGGGGTGATTTTTAAAAATCCATGTGCACTGTGTTTCAGCTATAGACAGCTGCTTACTTGGGGGCAAGGACTGAATTCCCTGTTTAGGGAAGTTTTTAATATTTAATGCTGTATTGTTTTTAACACTCGATTGGAAGCCGCCCAGAGCGGCTGGAGAAACTCAGCCAGATGGGCGGAGTATAAATAATAAATTATTATTATTTGCTAAATAGGTGACCATTTCAGAAGCATTTGCTATCTAGGCCAGGAATCAAAGAGCTATTTTAGGTTTACCTACATGGTCCCTGTGGGATTTTTAAAGTAGGTTTTTTAATACCCAAAAATTAGGTTTAACATTGGGGCTCATCTTATACATGGGTAGTGCTGAGGGGTGTTTTCTTAATTTGGAGTCCCCAAAAATAGGGGGTGTCTTATACATGGCGGCATCTTATACACGGAAAAATACGGTATTTTTTTGTTGACCATCAGATTTCCATATATTTTCTTTAACTTCTTATATATATTTATATTTATATCCTACCTTTTGTCCAAGGAGCTCAAAGTGATGTATGTGGTTTTCCCCGCCCTCATTTTATCCTCACAACCACTTTTTGCGGTAGGTTACACTGAGAGATAGCGGCTGGCTCATGGCCAGCTTCTTGACTGCGTGAGGTTTTGCTCCCGGATCTTCCAGGCCCCAGTCCAATACAATGAATCACTGTATCACACTGGCGGTCAGCATTTTTCTTTTCTTTTTCTTTTTCAAGATCGCATTGAAGGTAAGAAAAAAGTGTAGAGCTTCATTCATTTGTTGCAAGCAGGAAGATAGGGTGGCTGCTGTTTGAGAAATTGTGATTCCAGCCTTCTAACTGGAACCAGCGTGGAATGGTTTATTTATTTCAAACACTTATCTGCTGCTGTCTTCTGATATTTTCCAGCCTTGGAAAATATTTTCGAGGCAAGTTAAGGACAGGAAAATAAAATATAAAAAACGATAAAAACAACCATTGAAGCAGCCTCCTCTACAGTATTAGTATTTTCTCTTCGACAGCAGTAAAATGATCTAAACATTTAAAGCCTTGGAAAACAATAAAGTCTTGACCTAACCTATAAGAGATGCCAGATTTGGCACCTGCTGAATTGAAAAGGCAGGGGAGCCCCACAGCCAAGGTGCAATCACTGTAAACATTCAATATTTGGTAGCTACCTACCTCACCTCCGGAGCCAGGGCACCCAGAATCAGTCCTTTTAGTAGCCAGGCAAGTTCACATGAGAATAGCTGACCTTTCAAATATCCAGTGGCTAGACTATTTAGTGCTTTAAAAAAATCCACCACTTTGAATTCTGCCTCAAAACCAATCTGGCAGCCTACTCCTGACAAGATACGTTGAGTCTTGCAGCTGTATCCTGGAGCAGTTGGCATTTACACTCTTTATAGGCACTCCAAATACATCACATTACTTGTTTGGTTCTTTGGATCTTGGCCAGAATTATTACTGCTACCAGTTCAAAAGCTCCTTTGGGAGTAGAAGGGCTGCCTCTTTGGCTCATACTTTTTTCAGAAATCGGGGTTACCTGCTACTCTTTCCAGAGAGTGTCTACCTTCTCAAATCCCCATATAAGCTCCATGGCCTAGCTTCTCATTTTGACCATTTCTGAACAGGAACATGTTTAGGAGGTCAGTGATGATGATGATGATGATGTTATTTGTACTCCACCCATCTGACTGGGTTGCCCCAGCCGCTCTGGGGCACATGGGCCAAGACATTTATTTGGGGAGGTTACTAGATTAATAAATTAATGGCTTTAAATACTTCACCAACCTAATATCCTCCAGTGTTTCAAATTGCAGCTCCCCTTAGCTCCAGCCAGCCCGATCCTTTTGCTGTTGTGCAGGTGTGAGCTAAGCTGTGGTTTTGGCTTAGCGTGTCATGCAAACCCAACCTCATAGTTTGTTCTTGGGTTTATGGTCCGTCTAGAGCAGGCATGGCCAAACTTGGCCCTCCAGATGTTTTGGGACTACAACTCCCATCATCCCGAGCTAACAGGAACAGTGATCAGGGATGATGGGAACTGTAGTCCCAAAACATCTGGAGGGTCAAGTTTGACCATGCTTGGTCTAGAGGAAGACAAAACAATGGTTTCAGCTTTTTTGTTTGTTTTTAGTCTGGAGCAGGCTAAATCTTTATTTCATAAATTTATATAACCTGTTTCATCTGTTGGGTGCATCTGTCAAACTATGCTGGTGAACGGCATGCACAAGTTTGAAACTGCTGATGAGACATTTCCACTTGGATTTCTGTTGGGACTCTTCATCTCTCTGTTCCTTAGGGTACAAACTGTGGGTGTGAGGCACGTATGGTTGCTAGCTTATGCCTTTTCGGCTGGTTCTGGAGTCAGGAATCAAGGCCACGGACTGCGCCTGCCAAAAGCATAGATATGGAATTGGACATGTCAAAATGTTAACTCCTTTCCTGACGAGTTTCATTCTTTCCCAAGCACATTCCAAAGATGACCAGAAATGATACTGCCAGTGGCGGAATCCTCTGCTGGAAAGTATTCTGGGGTATGTTAACTGCAAACAGACCTCTTGATTCCTTGGAGAATTTTCTTTCTTTCTTTCTTTTTAAAAAAGGGGGTCGAAGTAGTATGACAGCTCTCATTTGAAAGGTCAGAGTTTGAAATTCCTCATGTAGTTGCAGCACAGTTATCACAGTGAGTCGTTATCTTTCGCTTTAAAAAAAATGTTCCAGGGAAGAAGGGTCAGTAGCAGCTGCCGTTCTAGACCTGGACCGATGTTTGTAACAGGCGCAAAGTACTACTA